CCTTTCTTAGTGAGCCCCTAAAAGCCAAGAGGAACATATGGGTGAAATTTCAAGTTTGTAGGCTTTACGGTTCTGGAGATTTTGTGATGATGCCTGAGGGGTCTTTCGCTTTTATATATAGATATAAAATATAGATTATAGATAGATTACAAATATCCACTTGGTTTCCGTGTCCAGCAATCGTGAGTGTCTTTTTTCCTTCCAGTTCTCATAAAAGGTCTGAGGCAACTGCATGAAAGCCAGAAAAACGCTCCGGCACACCAACTTCCAGACGCTAAATCTTTACCCGGGCTGCCAAATTCCCACCCTGGTTCCGGGGTCCAGCATGTCCAGATCCGCGTGGCCCATTTGGAAGAGAGTTCCGTCTGCTCTCCTGCTTCCGTGGCGGCCTTACAGATCCCTCTCCAGATCACCCATGTCTGTAAGTCACCAGGGCTCCCTTTTTTCCTAAACAGATCCTCGTCGCTGCTTCTTGGATGGGGTGGGTGGGGAAGAGCCTGTTCAGGAAGGGGCAACTGGCAACATTTGCAGGGTGCAAATATTCTTGCTGGTTCGTCTGGCACGGCGCGGAGCACAGTGGTGGTCGCGCGGATATGAAAAGTTGGATGTGATGACCCAAAGGGGCGTGGCACAAAGGCAACCCAGTCAGATAATCAGTATGAGTCCCTTTATTAGCTCCAACTTTGCCCCCAATGTCCTGGTTGCCTTCTGGGCTGGAGAAAAACTCTCCCAGGAACAGCCTTGGGCTGCAGAGAATCAAGTCCAAAACGTGGTCAATAAAAACTGTAACTAGAAGTCCAATCAAGGCCAAATGAGGTAATTAGTTTGGCAGGGCAGGAGCAAGAATTCCAGATGTGAAGGCACGGCAATAACTCAACACGGTTGGGAAGATGCCAGGAACACAGATAAGCAAAGGCAACACAAGATAAACTGCAGCTAGTGCAAATAACGAAGACGTCCTCTGTGGACTTAACTCCTAGTTGACTTTTGGAGTCCGTTGTCATAAATCAAGGACTACCCATACATAAATCTACAGATAAAATTCTCCTGTGTTTCCCCATTTATATAATGCTGGGAATACAGACATTCCCCACTTCCCTTCCCATTCCGGCAGTTCCCCCCGTTTAAATCATGAGTCTCGAGCCAAACTTCCAAAACTCAAAAAGAATTTATTGGGAGTTAAACTGTCCAGCAGTGCCTGGGTGTATCATAATTCATATTCTTCAATGGGACACATCCATAGCCCAGAGTCATCAATCAGGCTCTCCGGTTAGAATTTTGCCCGGCAGAAACTTCGGTCACCTAGAAACTATCTTTGAAAAACTATTTATGGAATGGACGTACAGTTCCCAAGCTGCTGCACTGCTCCCCCTTCCCTTTCTGTTGGCAACTATAAAATGACCAGAGAAATATTTTATGAGTTGACAGAGGCACTTTCTCTCCAGCCAATGCAGCCCAAACACACTTTCGTTCTTTTTAAAAATGCTGCATTCAATCAGCCAGTTGCTTTTAGCCAGGGCATTTTTGATATTGTGGCTTCCCAGAGGCCCTGAGCCCCCTCCCTGGCTCAATCTGCAGAGCCTTTCTTAGCCACAGTTCCTCCTTTTGTACTTTGAATGCGGCTGCCGCGTGGACGTTTTGCGTGGGATGGATGATAAATCAGGTTTGGGCCGAGACCCCGGATAGTCCTACCCAAGTGGGGATTGCAACGGAATCAAAGCACCGTGATTTGAGGGGATGAAATCTCTCCCGATTGCCAAGACTGAGAGAAGCACGAGACACGGATCGGTGGCACACCGGATCCTGGCCAATGTTTATCCCTCCTTTAAAATGCGATTCCAGGGGGCACCGTTGCTCATCTTTGTCACATTCCGTATTGCCAAGAAGATTACACCATCAGGGACACGGAAGTTACTCAGAGTGGAGCCTGACCTTTTTACTTTTGTAGTTAGGGAATTGATTTCCTGCAGACCCTGAAGGTTATTGAGTGGAGAACAGCATTGTACCGATAACACAGAGAGAGAGAATTGGAAGAGAAGCTGTACTCAAGATAACTTGGATGTTTCCATTCGCCAAGGCCGGGGGGGTCAGCAACGACAACACTGGATAAACTCACGTTTGCTCCCAGCAGCTGCCACACTCAGTTTGCATATCATTTCTAAACTCTTATTCCCAGGTGTGGCTAATAAAAGGAATCAGGGCCCTCTCCTCCCACGTAAGCCACGCAACCCATGTTGCTCCCTTCTCCCTGTGTGCCCTAAGATGATGAAGGGGTGGGCCTGTTTCTTCCTCTGAACTCCCTCTCCCTTGTTCTACCTCTCCCCTGCTCTGCCCAAGTGAACGTTGCCCTTCCCCAGTTTCCTCTACAGCCAGCGGAGCCACACTCCTCCTCCCTGTCAGCAGCTCGGCCTCCCCCTCCGATTCAGACTCTGACAGGGGCAGGACAGGTGGGCTGAAATTTAATTCTTCTTCTGAAGCTAACACACTCTGGGCCAGGGAGCAATGGGCCAACGGTCCCTTCTTAATATACAAAGTCCTTTCCCTTATTCCTGCTTTGAGCACCTGGGTGCATGCTCTGTTTTACATTCTCTTGTGATTAATATGTTCAGAACCTGTTTACTGATTTGAACCTTTGGTCCTGTTTTTTTTCTTCTTCTTTGCCTCTTGTGTAGCTTCTGCCGATTCCCCCGCGGCTTCCGTCGACTCCGAAACGATAACACTAAATAGTGGGACGTTGCAGACTTTTGAGATTTTGCCGGTAAGTCTTAACGGAGTGGACTTGATTACATCTGTTTGCAGGGAAAAGGATTTTAGCTGAGATGTTTAAAGCTCTGGAGCAGGGGTCTCCAACTTGGGGAATTCTGGGAGTCGGTCCACAAGTCTTAAAGTGGCCCAGGTTGGAGAGCCCTGCTCTCCAGTCCAAAGCCGAACACGTTTCTAGCATCAGCATTTCCCATTCTGATGCTCTCAGAATGCCTTCCCCTCCCCTCGAACCCTCCACTAGCATGGCCCAGATAGGGGACAGTAGAAATCAGAGGTGGTCTTCAGCTGGTTTTGAGCAGTTCTGGAGAACCGGTAGCAGAACTTTTGAGTCGTTTGGAGAACCGGCCAATCCTACCTCTGACTGGCCCCGCCAACCCCATCTCTTCTCTGCCTCCCATCGAGTCTCCCATGGGTCTCCTTTGGTTGCCCTGCACAGGAGAACGGAGCTGGAAAGCAGGTCAGTGGGGTGGGGAGGGAAGGGGGATTTTGCAGTATATCCTTTCCCTGCCACGCCCACCAAGCCACGCCCACAGAATCAGTAGTAAAATGAACCCCATCACTGGTAGAAATAACCTAGTTTGTCGCACCTTGTTTCAGTTACGTTTTTTATAGACCTGCTTCTCGGTTTCTCTTTGATGTCACCCTGGGAAGGAGCTCCGTTGAGATGGCCGTGAAACACCTGATTGCTTCTCTTTTCCTTCTCCCTTCCCGCTCCTAGTCCTTCCACCTGCAGCCGACTGGCACCCCGGGCACCTACCTGCTCCAGACCAGCTCAAGCCAGGGGCTGCCTCTGACCCTAACCGCCAGCCCCACAGTCACCCTCACGGCTGCTGCAGCGCCAGCCTCTCCAGACCAGATCATAGTCCATGCCTTATCCGTACGTATCAGAACAGTAAGACCTCCGGGGGGGGGGGGGGGGGGGGGGCATGGGGAGGAGACACCTGAGGGTGGAGGAGGCCTTCAGAGCTCTGGCTGGCGAGTTTGGCAAGCTCTTGACTGACCTCATCAGTACAGAAGGTCCTCCACTGATGGCCACAGAGAAGTCCAACATTTCTGTTGTTGAGACGCTTGTCAAGTTATTTTTGCCCCCTTTTACAACCATCCTTACCACAGTTGTTAAGTGAATCACTGCAGTTGTTGAGTCTGTTAAGTGAATCTGGCTTGGTGTTGGGAAAGAGGGAGGGCCAAACGAGAAAGGGAGGGCGGAGGAGGGGTTAGGAAGGGCCATCAAAGCAACAAGCATGAATTTGGGGAAACTCCAGGAGAGAAGAGAGCGCCGGGGTTGCAGAGTCAGACATAACTTGGAGACTGAACAACGGCAATAACAATTCAGCCAATGTAATGGTTATTGCTGTGCGTCCTTTGCCTTTCCATGCGTGTGTGCGTGCCGTTCCTGGCAGGTAAGTAGACGCCCATGTATATCGTGCGTGTATTGGAGGGGTGTGGATTCTCCAAGATCAAGGGAGCCATCCCAACCCACAAGGAAAGGAAGCTGGTTGGCCTGCCTTCCAATTTCCCCATTCCTCCTCTTCCTTTTGGGCAAAGCTGAGAGATGAGGCGGGTGATGTCGTTTCCACTTCTACAAATATTCCCAAAAACCTGCCTGGCACCGAGCAGCCGCTATCCGTCCCGCCCAAGAGGATGAATGGAGCCGCGGTGTTTGCTTTGCCACCTTTTGCCAAATAGCCAACTGCCCTTGTGTGGCCCTTTCCCGCAGCCCGAGCACCTGCTGAACACGACGGAGAACGTCACCGTGCAGTGCCACGCGCCCAGCGTCATCATCCGGACCATGGCATCCGAAGACGTTTCCCCGCCCGCCAGCCAGGCGGAACTGAGCGCCGATTTGGGCCTGCAGACTGTTGGCTTGGCGGGCACACCGACCTCCCTGGAAACGGACTCTTTCCCAGAGGACGTCCGCCCCTCCAAACTCCCAGGGGAAGACAGCACCGGCGGTTCCTCCAAATTTGGCAGCCGAAGCAGCCCGGAGCTCCTGGAAAGAGCAGGCGTCGGCATTCTGAATTCAGATCTCAAGCGGGAAGATAACTGTCCGTCGGATTTGGCTGGCACTTACGTTTCCGAGGTAAGGAGAAAAAAAAGCCCAACTCCTAAACCTTCGGAGCTGATGTTTACGTCGCCCTAAGCCACAGTTCTCCAAATCTGGCAGAAATGTGAAATGGATTTTGTTAAGCCTGGATTCCCCAACGGGTGTTAAGGAAAACAAACTAAACAGAACGTGCAGCGAAGTCAGATAGGAAGACAGGTAAATGTGTGAGATAAGTTTTCTAGTTAACACGCAGTAAAAATA